CAATATAAGGTTGATTATAGAAACAGACTTCACAATGCTGACCTGTGTGACCTGTGTTTGAGAGGAAAAGAAATTAAAAAATAAACAAGAAATTGTGTTACAAGGTGCTAAGTTTATGTTTACTAGACGCGAACTTGGTTTAAGTTGTTGTTGTCTTCCTAGTGCAAAGCACCATAATGTATCATACGCAGGGAATCGAACCCCGAATTTTAACGTTGTAATTCCGTAACTTACCGTTGACCAACTAGGGAACCACACATTGAGTATTGAACGGTTTTGTAGTAAAGATAAGCGTACTAAAACACACCGTTTAACAGTTTGTTTGTAATTAAGCACAAAGCTACACAATGGGCTATCTGTGCTCTGCCCACCACGGGTATTGTGCCACTGGGGGGACCCATTCAACAGAACTATTCATTTTGATAGTAAAATATAAAATTTACCATTAGATATGTAAAAAAAAAGTATTTAGAACTTCAAATTTATTTTAATTGGGACGCACGATTACCAACACTGTCTATAGCCACTACCGTGAGGCCTGGTGGTTAGGACGCTCGACTCGCAATCTGCTGGTCGCGGGTTCGAATCCCTGTCACATCAAACATGCTCGTCCTTTCAGCCGTGGGGGCGTTATAATGTGACGCTCAATCCCACTATTCGTTGGTAAAAGAGTAGCCCAAGAGTTGGCGGTGGGTGATGATGACTAGCTGCCTTCCCTCTAGTCTTACACTGCTAAATTAGGGACGGCTAGCGCAGATAGCCCTCGTGTAGCTTTGCGCAAAATTCATAATAAACAAACAAACCACTAGCGTGAATAAAACAAGACTCAGTTTGTGAATGCGAAATCCCGCTGCATAACATCATTTGTTGAGTTTTTATAAGGAACTTCCCGAATTCAAAACTTCAGTATCCAGCTCCTTTTATTTAATTTATTGGATAGACAAAATGAATTTTAAATTAGTGTAAGAATGTCAAAGGTAATATTTTCAGAAAAAAAAGTTAACTGGTATTTACATACTCTGTTAGTCTTTAAACTGCTGAGGGCACACAGCGTTTTCTTTACTTTTACATACAACTGAAATGTGTATATCAAAGCACATGTCTTCACTTTAATATTGAAATAAAATGTGTATGTCAGATCACAAGATTTCACTTTAATAGTCAGTTGAAATGGGCCCGGCATGGCCAGGTGGTAAGGGCGCTCGACTCGCAATCTGATAGTCGCGGATTCGAATCGCCGTCCCATCAAACCTTTCAGTTGTGGAGGCGTTATAATGTGACGGTCAATCACACTATTCGTTGGTAAAAGAGTAGCCCAAGAGTTTGTCCTTGCTAAATTAGGGCAGATAGCCCTCGTGTAACTTTGCGCGAAATTAAATAACAAACAAACATTTGAAATTTCAGGTTAGATCACATGACTCCCTTTTAGTATTCAACTGAAATATGTATATCAGATCACATGATTTCACTTTAGTATTCAACTGAAATGTGTATGTCAGATCACATGATTTCACTTTAGTATTCAACTGAAATATGTATGTCAGATCACATGATTTCACTTTAGTATTCAACTGAAATATGTATGTCAGATCACATGATTTCACTTTAGTATTCAACTGAAATATGTATGTCAGATCATCTGACAGTTTCATGTTGTATCAAAACGGAATCAACTGATATTATTCAACAGAGAGAAAACTCTGATTACCCCTTGATTGTTTTGAGCGGTGTATTTTCAACATTTTTAGCTTATAACGCAGATGTTTGATTCTATTTCACTATGCACGTGAAAAACATTTATTTACTATTCTCACAAAAATCAACAATCAACATGTTGAATTGGTAGTAAGATCAAGTTAGTAACATTAAAATGGTAATAAACATCCACTTGCTTTTATTTTTTGAAAATTGTTGAATAGATTTGTTTGTAATTAAGCACAAAGCTACCCAACGGGCTATCTGTTCTCTACCCACTACGGGTATCGAAACCCGGATTCTAGAGTTGTAAGTCTGCAGACATACCGCTGTGCCACTGGGGGGGGGATGTTTAATAAAAGACATGCTTTAGTAATAACCGTGTATTCTCATGTAACGTAATTGGTATTTAGTCCTAATGGGTACATATGTTATTAATCCTAGAATTATTGTTTTCAAGAACTTCAGATATGAACTTTAGAAACGTGATAAATTTCCAGACCCAAAAGACATTGAACTTGAGGAAGAGAGTGAGACATTTAACGAGAATTTTAATGGCGGAAGATTCTCAGCATTTTTTATTTAAACCTTTTGAGGGTTATTTCACTTATTTTTGAACAGGGGAAGCCGAGAAAGATACTTTACATTTTCTGTTGATTATATTGTTCGTAGATACAGTCTAAGTAGAACCAAATTTTGAGAATCTGTATCCAACATGTTCGTTTTGGAAAAGTCAATGACAAATAAGTTGTTTTGTCATTCTGGTGTTAAGGATGAAAAACTGTTAAGGCAAGTTCAATGTGTAAAGTACATTTTAACTCATACAACTACTTATTTACTTAAAATCATAAATAATACTCAACGTTAAACTGGTACACAGTTAAGAACATTTTATTTAGGCCTATCTATGGCCTTCAAAAAGTTGAGTATTATTTATGATTTTAAGTAAATAAGTAGTTGTATGAGTTAAAATGTACTTTACACATTGAACTTGCCTTAACAGTTTTTCATCCTTAACACCAGAATGACAAAACAACTTATTTGTCATTGACTTTTCCAAAACGAAC